AGACATAAATGGTCATTAATATTAACACTTTGTTCACCTCTTTCCCCATTAAAAGCTTTAACCTACAAGCATTTAATGCTTCAAGGGAAAAAATACCATCTGAATGAATAATTACACTATTGTGGCTGTCACTCCACATTGGGGCAGCTGTGCCCTGACCTCAGTATGGCAGTGGGGCAGTGTAGACCCCGGCAGGAGATTAAAGGCATTTTTCCAGCCCTGAGACAGGATGAGAAAGTCATTCCACCTCTAGCAGTGAATGAACATGATTTTCAATCAGATTCCTGAAGCTGACTGCTCAGCTCTTACACTGGACAATGATGGCAATTAAAGCTGGTTCCAGGGCAGGTTGAGGTGAATGGAGACACTGAAAGGCATTTAGGTTGTCCCTGAAATTCTGTGCTTCTTGCATCTACATGTGATACCTCAGGGTTAGGAAATTGCTATGTAGATTTATGTAAAATAATATGCAAATCAGAAGTATGTCTCCCCCGCCTTTAAATGAAGAGAACTATAGTAGTCCAACAATGCTATCCTCTCAGGGGTTTGCTTCCTACCACCCTCAATTCTTTTCTTAAAAAAAAAAAAAAAATATATATATATATATATACACACACACACATATATATTTTTTAAATATATATATTTTTTCCTAAATATACTTTTATTGATTTCAGAGGGGAGGGGAGAGGGAGAAGAGAGAGATGGAAACATCAATGATGAGAGAATCATTGATTAGCTGTCTCCTGCACGCCCCCTACTGGGAATCGAGCCCACAACTGGGCATGTGGGGGATCAAATGGTGACCTCCTGGTTCATAGGTTGATGCTCAACCACTGAGCCATGTAGGCTGGGATGGTCAAGGATATTTTAACCCTCATGGAAGGAGGAGCATCTTGTATTTTCTTCTCTCCCTCCCAGCTCCCTCCTTCTTTCCTTGCCTCCATCTTTCTCACTTGGCCCCTCTGCACGGGATATGCCCCTCATGGGCCATGTATTAAGTAAGGGGGTCCTTTACTAGGAAACAGATATCAGAAAAAGGTAACTAAAGCTTTCAGGCATGTAGTCACTCATAAAGTCACTCATGTCGTCTGCTACCAGGGGATATGCCATGTACCTGGAAAAGTAATTAGTTAGGAGTCACTGCTTTAACCATCATAGAGGTAACTAGGCCTTCGAGGCACCGGACTCTGGCACTGCCTCTGTGGGACACAGTTGTCTATTTCTGGCCATAACCGTGTTGGGCTATCCAGCCTCTCCTCCTTTCCCGCACATCACTTCGTATTTTCTTTCTGCTTAGGCTTACAGGGGAAATATTTTTACTCAGTTCCAAGTGAATGTAGATAACTTTTCCCTTCAAAAGTGCTACCCACAACACAGTTCCTGAAGGGTGACTCATTGGTGATGCCTGCACGCCCTACTGCTACCAAACCAGCCAGAGAGCCTCTCCATCATGTTCCGCAACAAGAATGGCCAATGAAACACAAAGATAAAGAATTCTCCCCAGACTAAAGGGTTTTTAGGACCCCATAGAGTTAATATGTCCTTGAGAGTTAATGTGGCCTGGCTGGTAGGGCTCAGCGGTTGAGCGTCGACCCAGGAACTAATAGGCTGTTGGTGTGATTCCCGGTCAGAGCACATTCCTGGGTTGTGGGCTTAATCCCCAGTAGGGACCATGCAGGAGCAGCCGATTGATGAAGTTCCTCTCTTATTGATGTTTCTATCTCTCTGTCCCTCTCCCTTCCTCTCTCTCTCTAAAAATCAATAAAAACATATTTTTTAAAAAAGAGTTAATATGGTGCCACCACAAGGGCTCAGGGGAGTTGAGACCCATGGGCCTGACTAAATACTGTCTCATAACCCTGCTAGCAGCATTGGTGGGTGACGAGACAACGTTCTTATCCCAACACAGGACCTTTCTGTGACTAAATGGTCACTTCATATAATTCAAAACTCCTTTCCTGAGATGTTAACTGTAATGGGTTTGGAAGGAATACTGTTTGTCAAGACTAACACATTTCTAGGGGTGGCTCAAGACTGTTTAATGTAGCAGCTATGCTCTTTGACTCCCAGTTCTGTTGCTTGAGGAACACGTATGTCAGTGTCCTTACCTTTACTCCACAGTCCCGCCTTCCACTCTCTATTTCTTTTTTAAAAATATATTTTATTGATTTTTACAGCGCGGAAGGGAGAGGGATCGAGAGTTAGAAACATCGATGAGAGAGGAACATCGATCAGCTGCCTCCTGCACTCTCCCTACTGGGGATGTGCCCACAACCAAGGTACATGCCCTTGACCGGAATCAAACCCGGGACCCTTCGGTCCACAGGCCGACGCTCTATCTGCTGAGCCAAACCAGTGAGGGCTCTATTTCTTCTTTATTGCTCATTTTAAACAAGGGAAATCTGGCATGCTGGTTTCAAAATACATAAAGCTATAGTAAATGAGTTGGACAAAGCACCCTTTTAGAGAAAATGGATGACAATTTATTGCTCTCTGGCAAATATAGGTAATGCAGTTCCTTTTTATTGGTCCAAACAGTCATCAGTTTAAAAGACGCGACAAGCTGTATCTGGCATGTAAACTCATGTTTGTTCTAAGCGCTTATTTTGTCCATTAAGCTCCATGTTATTGTCTTAAAAAAAAAATCAAGTTCTATTTTCCATGTCACAGGGAAGCAGCAAGAGGGGACATGTGAAGGTTTTAAACCAGCAGAGAAGCTAACTAAGTAGGAGCATCGCTTTGGGAGGCTTACAGTGTTACCAGCGAGGCCCTGAGGGAGGAGGGCGTTGACCTGCCGAGAAGCACAAGGTGCCTTCGTGCCTCCCGACCTAATTCTACACTCATTTCACAGCGTCTCGTCTCAGAGATGCTGCATCTATAGAGATTGTCTTAGCATCTTAAAAACAAAGGAAATTCCCTATGCAGGTCCCGAATGAGAGGCAGCAGCTTTGCATGTAAAGGGCAGGGTTCTATGCTCAGCGAGGAAGGTTTCAGTCCTGCTCCTGACAAAACTCAGGCTAATTACTGAGCCACTATCAGCTCATGATTCCTTTTTTCTTAATCCTCACCCGAGGAGTGAGGACATTTTTTCCACTGATTTTTCAGAGAGAGTGGAGGGGAGGAGGGAGGACAAGGAGGACGAAGAGGAGAGGGAGAAAGATCTACATGAGAGAGACACAGTGATTGGTTGCCTCCCATTTGAGCCCCGACCTAGACCAGGTATTGAACCTGCAACCAAAGTATGTGCCCTTGATGGGGAATCGAACCTTTGACCCTTCAGTTTTCCGGCTGATGCTCTAACCACTGAGCCCTGATCAGGGCTCAGCTCATGATTCTTTCCTGCAACACGTGGCTGATGTTTACCTACGCCTGTGGTGAGTAAACATTCCATAAAGGCGAGCGTGTTTATTTAACAGTCTTGGCTTCAGCTATACATACATCTGTAACGTCAATAAAAATGTCACATCCATATTTATGTAGCAAGGAGTGCAAACAGCATCCACCGATGTGCAAATTGTGGATATTAACATTGTTAGGGGAACCTGGAACTCAGTGAGACGTGGCCTGCACTTAATGGTGGGAGCCGGATGGCATTTAGGTTTCTCTTTCTGGAGTTCAAATCAGTGTGAAGGTGAGATTCGGGCCCTCCCATGGTGACTGTCAGATTGCCAAGGTGTCTTGATCATGGGACAGAGAAACTTCGTTTGAAATTGAATGGCTGTCGAGCTGTCACCGTCTGTGATGGGGCCTCCCTCAGAGGAGGACTGGCCGGTTACGGGGAAAGGGCTGCGATGAGCTGGAGAAAGCTGTCCGCGTGCTGTGCCTGTGCGTTCGGAGTACATCACAGAGCTCTCCTGCTGCTCGGGACTCTGTCTGTTGACATTAAAATGTGCTCACAACTTATAAAAATCATTAAGGATTCCATTTGCACCTCCCTGGTGGGAAGCTGGGAAATAAAACCACGCCAGCCAGCGTACATTTCAAATATTTACCATGCTGTACTTGCCCTCCAGGCACTGCTCTGGCAGTGTCCCTCCGAGAAATTAGTGCAGACACGGAATAGCCTTCTCCAAGGCCAGCATTTCATTAAAGAAACCTCAGTCACTTCCTTCTCCTTTGTCCCCCAGAACCCTGATCTCTTGTCTCTGATGCTCATGCCAGAGAATAAGAGGGAAAAGGAAAAGAAAACAAAACACAAAACAAACAACAATAAAAGAAAAAAAATGACAAAAAAGAAAAAGAAAAAAGAAGGGAAAAGAGAAGAAATTTTTGAGGGAAGGAGAGAGGAGGGTGGGACAAGGAAGGGGAGAGCACGTGGGAGGGGAGGTTACAAGGGGAGAGGGGAAGAGGAGATAGTAACTGGCGTTTATCACTTTGCTTAGTAAATGTCAACACTGAGCGAACCTCCACTAGCGCCCTTCTATTCTGAATCTCGGTTGAACTGTGTGGTTTCAGAAACAAGGGACAAAGTGTAGCAAGCATCCTGGCTTGTCAGTGTTCTGCATGAAGGAAAAACATGGAGAACAGCAATCTTTTATCCTCGAAGAATGCAAGACTAAAGGGAGACACGAAGACAATTCCTTAACAGTGAAAGCTGCCAAATGCTGGGGAAGGGCCGTGGAAGTGATTTTGGAACTTTTTCCCTAGAAGAATATGTCAAAATTTGGACATGTTCTTTCCCTTTCTGGGGTGTAAGGAGGCCCACCTGTGGGCGAGAAGCACCGAGTCCCGAAAGCCTGGGACGTCTTTTGATGGAAAGAAGGAAACGCTATGGACAGGGGGTGTGGGCCACAAAGAGCAGTGGAAAGAGAAATCCAAGGAGAGCTTCTTGCTCCGGTCAAGAGGTCAGCTCGGTTAGCAGGCAGGGAGGCCTCCCACCGCACCCCGTGACCGCAGCTTGGCGGTGTCCTGAAAACATCTCCGCTCGTGTGCAGCAGCACCAGGACCAGGCACCGAATGCTCATGTCACTGAGCTTGTCGCTGTTCTCAAACGGCAGGAATCACCACGGAGCTGACCGTGTCCACCAGCGTCCCTGGAGTGAGCGCCTCCAGGCCCAGGTGTCCTACATCAGGGCCCTGCACGCACCCCGGAGTCAGCTCCCTCTTTGTGTCCCGGTCAGTCATTGAGTTTGCAGTCCGGAGCTACCTCACCGCAGGGGAAGGGCGGGAACAGCTCAGCAAGGCCGGGAAGGTACTGCCTGGATGACCGCGTCCCTTTAAAGAAAGTGAAAAAGCTCCTCATCAGAAGCGCAGTCGGACAGCACTGCCGGCGCCTGTATAAAGGGCATCTCCCTCGTCAAGGTGCCACCTCTCACTGGAAAAAAAGGGGTTGATGTACAAACCACATCCTTTCAAAGCGGATGATGATGATAATAATAACAGCTAACATTTAGCGAGTATTTATTCTGTATTGGCATTGTGCTAACCACCTCACCTATATTAGGCCCTTTAATTCTCAAGGTAGCCCCGAGAGGTCAGCACTCCCTCACCCTCATTTTATGGAAGTGAAATGGGGGCAGGTGGGCAGCCACTTGGCCGAAGTCCCAGGCTCCAGAGCAGCCAGGATTTGCTGCTGAGTCTCCCTGACTCCGGGCTGTGCCCCCACAAATGACATGTTTCTCTCCTCCAAGAGCGAGGCTTCCTTTTCTCCTCGTTTCTCGGGAGAGTGGGAGCGCACAAGGGGAGTTCTTCTCCTCACGGGGTACTGGGAGTAAGGTGCCCTCTGGGCTTTAAATGTGATGACATGGTTTTGTGACACTGCTTAATACAGAGGCATAGACGGATCTCTACCTGCTTCATTTCACCCAGGACTGGGCACCAGTCCCCGTTGCTATGAGAACTGACATACAACACTGTACTTCAGACACCCAACTGACCAAATTAATTCGTTTGCTAGCATATCCTTAAGAAACTATATATGGAACTATGCATATATGTACACACTCATACACATGATTTTAAGAAATTCTTAAATGAGCATTTACACATCCAAAACATTATTTTATATATTTTATATTTCTAGTGAGAGCATGTCATACTTTTGAGAATTTTTTAAAAAAATATATTTTTATTGATTTCAGAGAGAAAGGGACACGGAGAGGGAGATAGAAACATCAGTGATGAGAGGGAATCATTGATTGGCTGTCTCCTGCATGCCCCACACTGGGAATCGAGGCCACAGCCCTGACGTGTGCCCTGACCGGAAATCGAACCATGACCTCCTGGTTCATAAGTCGATGATACTCAACCACTGAGCCACGCTGGCTGGGCTTGAGAATGTTTTTATGTTCTCTTCTCCAACTGAACCCTTATATTAGCTTCCTGATGTAGGCCTTGTGGAGATTATTATCTTTATTTTAAAAATGAAGAAGCAGCCTAGTCGATGTGGCTCAGTGGCTGAGCGTCGACCTATGAATTGGGAGGTTATGGTTCAATTCCAGTCAGGGCACATGCCCAGGTCATGGGCTCCATTCCTGGGTAGGGGCATGCAGGAGGCAGCCAATCAATGATTCTCATCTCTCTCTCCTTCTCCCTTCCTCTCTGAAATCAATTAGAATATCTCTCTCTATATAAAAGCCTAAGCGACTGTCTGACCATTCAACTGTCCAACTGGTAGCTATGACTCACAATGACCACCAGGGGGCAGACGCTCAACACAGGAGCTAAAGAGCTGCAGTGGCTTGGCAGCTGTGGGTCTCCGGTGACACACCCAGAACCAGAGAGGAGGGAGCCTGATTCTGGGAGCTTCACCGGAGAACCGCCCCCTTGCAATCCAGGACCCCTCGGGGGATTTTGGAGAGCCGGCTTTGGCCTGATCCCCGCAGGCCAGGCCCAGGGACCCCATGCACCGGGCCTTTAGTACACAAAGAAGTGAAGAAGCAGAGTTTTAGTGAAGTAAAGTGATTTATCAAATGTTTCACAGCCAGCAGAACTGCAAAGGCAATTCAGTTCTCCTGCAATGCCAACTTCATTCTTTCATTTTGTAACCTTTGAGGTGAAGCAGTAGGAGCTGCTTTTGCTTTATTGCGGATGCTGCAATTTCTTTTGTTGAAAGCATGTGATTCTGTGTTCTTGTCATGTACGTACCCCATCTCAGGATGAATACACAGGGGGAGACAACCCGAAGCTCACAGACAAGTGTGCAGTGATGGGTGTGTACGCATCCCAGGGGGCCTGTCACCGTTTTCATTCAGGAGGCCTGGCGTGGGACCCAAGACTCTGCATTGCTAACCAGCCCCCGGTGCTGCTGACCCATTGCCCATACTGTGCATTTAGAGAAGTAACAGTTGACAGAGGAAAACGTCTGACAAGGAAAAGAATTTTCTGTTCTGGTTTTATTTTTATTTTTTTAGTGGGGGTGATTAACCCAAGAAAGAGGCAGTGAAGTAACCATGACTCACCTCTGTGTGTCCTTTGACTTTAATATTCCTATGCCTCCTCGTCCCCACCTGCCACACAACACGTGTGTTCACCTGGATATTCTTTCTCTTAATGGGGTTGTACACAACCTCTTTGTGTATCACTAAACGAGAGTCTTTTGGGTTTATAAGCATCATCCTTTTAAAAAAATCCTCACCCAAGGATATGTTTTTATTGATTTGAGAGAGGAAAGGAAAGAGAGAAAGAGAGAGAGAGAGAGAGAGAGAGAGAGAGAGGAACGCATCGTTTGGTTGCCTCCCTTACATGCCCGGACTGGGGAGTGAACCCATGACCTTTTGGTGTACAGGATGACATTCCAACCGACTGAACCACCTGGCCAGGGCAATTATTTTTTGTTTTTAATTGTGGTAAAATATAAATAACATAGAACTTACCATCTGAACCATTTTTAAGTGCATAGTTAAGTACCATTAAGTATATTACATTGTTATGCAGCCAATCTCCAGAACTTTTTAATCTCGAAAAACTGAGATTCTGTACCCATTAAACTCCCCCAAGTTCTCCCTCCCCCCAGCTTCTGGAAACCACCATTCTAAACTTCCTCTTTTAAAGGGGCAATTATCTCAAAGAAACATTCTACTTTGCATTCATATAGTTGTTAGACAAAATGAAAGCGCACAAGATTTAGAGTCAGAAGAAGTGATTCCAAACTTTGTTTCCAGGTTATTTCTCCTAAAGTTCATTATGCATTTGCAAAACTGTGGGCTTTCTTCCCTCTTTATTCCACAGAGCTGTTGTGAAGATCAGACGATGTAATAAATAGGTCTGAAACATTTGCAAACTATAAACTGCTACACAGAAGTTAAGTTCTTAATTGTGATTATGCCAGAGCATGTGGCGTGAAGGACCAGGAGGTTTGGTGGGGAGAGCAACAGTTATCTGAGATGAGAGGTCTTTCAAGCTGTTAGTGGAGAATCAAATTTCTCTGCTGCTTGTGGGAGCGAGGTGGAGGTTCTTAGGGTGCTGTGAAATAAGAATTTCCAGAAGCCCCCATGGGAGAATGAGATGTGGCGAACGGCATTGTTCTTGTGGAGTTATATTCCTCAGGTTCCAAAGTCCCTGGCCCTTTAATCCAGTCTTGAAAGAGGTACAGCTGAGGGTCCAGCAGAGCCCAAAGCAGGCCAGTTTCCAGAGCTTCCGTGCCATGGTGGAGCCGGGCGTAGTTCAGCATCCAAGCTCATTAAAGTCCATCAGTCCAAGTGCGGAGTCTACAAGGCCACGAACCATGTGGGCACAGGGGAGCCCGCCCCTGCAATAGGAGAGCCGGGAAGTGGCCAGAGAGAGAGAGAGAGAGAGAGAGAGAACACTTCTTTGTCTAGAAGTTTAAATATTCAGATTTTGTGTGCTTGCCACTGACTCTACTCCCAGGTGTGATTGACAGACAGCCCCTCCCCTGTCGCTCAGACCTTACTGGGCATCATCCAAACTGCCTCCGTCCAGTCCCTTCCCCATTTGATCAGCGGGGACCAGACTTGGAGAGTATTGAATGCAGCTTTTTGGCAAAGCTGTGCAAATGGCATACCTATGTTATCTGGTCTTCACCTTCCTCCTTTCCTGTTAAATAGTAACCAGGTGATTACTACAGCACCAAAGGGAGAGGATGCCCCAGTCAGGGGCAGGGCAGACAGATATGTCTGGGTTTGGGGCTAGTCAGTGATACCTCTCACTTGAGAATTGGGAAACCAGTTTTAGAGAGATGTGTGAGCCAGACAGACGGGTATGAGAATGCCACATTCCTTTTATTGATAAAGCAGTTTGGAGCAAGTGGCTTGTTCTCTGTATCTATGTGCCTCTTTCTGTTTTGCTTGTTTATTTTGTTTTTCAGGTTCCACATGTAAGTGAAATCATATGGTATTTGTCTTTTGCTGTCCGACTTATTTCTAGTCTCCATGTCTTTCGAATTAAGTAAAATATTAGGTATTTATTTATTTATTTATTTATTTAGTTAGTTAATCCTTGCCCAAGGAAATTTTTTCATTGATATTTAGGGAGAGTGGAAGAGAGAGGGAAAGACAGAGAGAAACATTGATGTGAGAGACATTGATTGGTTGCCTCCTGCATGAGCCCCGACCATGAGCCCGGACCATGGCCTGGGCCAGGGAGGAGCCTGCAACCAAGGTACGTGCCCTTGACTGGAATTGAACCTGGGACCCTTTGGTCCACAGGTTGATGCTCTACCCACTAAGCTAAACCATCTAGGGCAAATATTAGGTTTTTAAATCACTATGAACCAAATACACATTTTGGCAGAATTTATTCTGCTGCCTCTAATATGAATTCTGAATAAGTTCATCCAGTGGTAGCCTATTTGTTCATTTTAAACTTCCCTGATTTTGTTTTCTCAGAAAGCAATTAGTATCAACTGCTCTGTACCAAAGAGCACCACTGTCTCCCTCAGAGTAAAGCCTTAAAGGGAAATGGTAGTTCAGATTCAACCAGGCGCTGGACCCACAAAGCACTGAAAAATCACTCCTTCCAAAAAATAAGCCAATTTCAAGTTGTTTAGTTGGGTTATGTTAGCATCATTTATAGGTGCTTTTCAGCAAAAATGGAAAGGCTTAGCCAATTTGCGTTTTAAGAGAGCAGCTAGAATCATAGCCGACCCCCACTCCAAATTTAAGCATAAATGGATCACCAGATGATACTATTGTTTCTGGACAAAACACAGACTGGGCACACTGTTATGTTTTCTCTAAAGAGGACCAATACATTGAAAAACAAACCCAACTGGCTTGCATTGCTCTTCTGATAAATCATGTTTAATTT